TATAATTGATATATTATATTAGTTTCAGGTGTACAAGATAATGATTTGATATTTGTATATACTGTGAAGTGGTTATCAGAAGCAGGGGGTGAGATGTGGGTGAAAAAGGTGAAGGGGGTCAAAAGGTACAAACTTCCAGCTATAACATAAGTCCTGGGGATGTAATGTAGAACATGGTGACCATAGTGAATAATACTGTATTGTGTATTTGAAAGGAGCTGAGAGTAGATCTCAGTAGATTCCCTTCTGAATGCATTTTCTCTATTTCCCTGTACGCACCCTTGACACACACTGTACCAACCTATCCGCAATGTCTGATCTCATCATGAACTTTGATACCTCTATGCCTTTGCTAAACATGTTTCCTCAACCTAGAATACGCTCCTCACCTCCCTTACAATATTCTTTTCATCTTTCAAAGACTCAACTCAACTCAAATGACAATCCTTTTGTGACATACTATGTTTATTCCTTCCCAAACAATTATTTTAATGATTTTCTTTCTTACAGCACTTTGTTTTTTGGTTGTGTACTTAAGGAATTCAGCCAGATTGTATTTCTCTCAGCATTTTCAGTGCCTAGTGGCCAGCTAATATGGTCTCTAAACTTTCTTCATTTTTAGAGTGACCTGACTGATTGCTAAGAACCACATATGTTAGGGAACCTTCTAATAATCTCCACTCCCAATAATCCCCACTTCCGGATATCCATATGAGTTACCTTCACATAACTCCCTGCCCTTAAGTGTAGTTTGGATCTAGTGACTTGCTTCTGCTGAATAGAATGTGGCAGAAGTGATACCAGGGATGTCAGAAATGGAATCTCATCACTTTTGCAGGGGAGTGGGATTCTAATCAAACACGCCAAATATCATGCCCTCATTGACTTCTCCCACTCCCCCTTCTGGTCTGTCTTCTCCTCTGCTATGGCTGGGGCAGAACCAGCAGCAGGAGATGCAGATCTCGGTGTGGCGAAGGCCACAGCCCATTGCTGGGCATGCTGGCCAGCTTGCTGATACCCTGGGCAATGACATCTTCAATATTTTTTTCTGTTCAGCTCACTGATGACCTTGATGAGCTGGTCGTCGGTCCACCTCAATGCCTATGCCATCCAGGATCTTCTTGATGTCCTTGGCACTAGGGAAGGCATTGCCCCCGAGGGTGGCCAGCATGTAGGAGATGACATAGTGTATGTAGACAGAATCTTTCAACATACAGGTAAATTATCAAAAAGGATCCTTCAGAACAAACTCTTTAGGAACTTTTGTTGCAGCTTGAGACTGATGTAGTAATACATACTTACTGGGTCTAGATGGAAATCTACCTAACTTCACCACTGTCATGCACATAATATTGTGCACACATTTCCCTATTCTCATATTTTGTCTCTGTATTTTATTTCTAAAATTCAAATTCATTATAGAATTTTCATAGGTAAGCAGTCTAACAAGATTAAATATAGATAGACAGATAGATAGACTTCAAGGCTAACAATAATTTTGATTCAATTATATGTACATTGCAAATGTATATATAATTTTTTACTATACTGTACCTTAATCTTGTATGTATATGTCAACCCCCTTGAGTAGTTTTACTACTGATTTATTTAAAATAAGTAGAGTGAAGCATAGAGAAGTGAGTAGTTATCCCTGTGGAATTATGTTTTTGGGTAAGATAGAGTCTAGGATTCCAATCTTAGCCTGGTCGTCATTCGCTGTGTGGCACAGGGCCACAAACAAAATGTCTCTGAGTTTCCATTTCCTCACTCCTAAATGTGGACGATAATACTCACCTTGACTTAATGTGAGTAAAACTATTAGAAGAGTTTAGTTTATTAGTTTATATTATTGCTTACTATTTGTCAATAAAATTAGTTACTTTCTTCTTATTTGATCTAAGAACATCATTTCATGGCTAACTATTTGGCTTACAGGCAGATGAACTCCTTCAGAAAATTCTATTACAAAATCTATTTCTTTCTGTTTAAATCCTTCATCACTTAATGACCACACACTGGTCAGTCATAACCTTTTTCAAGTCCCACCTGGAGGTTATATGAGAGTACATTTAAATCTGAAGTCCCTGGAATTCAGCATAATTTGCATAGTTATACCTTACCAAAATTCTCTATTTTGGTCAATTTCTAACTACTCCTAAACTTTAAAATGCTTAAGAACAGACTTCAGGTCAGTTTCTTTTTAACTCACAACAAATAGGGCTTTGCACACAAATAATATTCTATACAAGTTTATAAAAACAAATGTATGAATTTACTTTGTGCCTGAAGTATGGATAGTAACCTCAGAGTCTGATTTTTCTGTACATGTGAAGATGGTATCACTTGAATTACTTTGAAGAGACATTATGATAAAATAGCTCTATAGACCAAATACCCTTAAAAACTAATTGCTAAACAATTTAATCTCAACTTATAATGATACATTCACATTGAAAATTTTCCCCAAATATAGCACGTAGTAAGTCAATTCTCCAATTTTTGACCAGTTCCACAATGAATGAAAGCAATCCATTGCCATTTGGATAACCATATGACCAAGAAAAGATTTGTCTCTGGTATCATCTGTTTATTTTATAATTATATAAAATATATTTTAGGACTTTAATGCAGTTATTTTTAGTTATCTGTGCCTAATGATATTTGTTATAGTAACACAAAAACACAGAAAAAAAAATAGAAACATTTGCGTGTTGAAAGCTTCTGATAATTGAATGAAAAGAATTTTAGAGCTTTGGTCTCTTAAAATTCTCAAGATTAGTATCATAAAAACAGCCAAGCAGTAATGCATAAAAGAATTATTAGGAGTCTAATAGAATTATTTGGACCTACAACTACAGCAACACTGATTAATGACTGCTTTTTAATTAATTGGAAGTTGTTCATTGTACCATTTCATTTCACCTGAGAGTTTTTATAAAAGGGTCAGGGCCAAAACATATGCTGGCTCAATCTGCAATAAGGTATATTTACACCATTTTGTTCTTCTTGGCAGGGCAAGTGTGGACTATTTCTTTCTCAGTCATTCACCAGGATGATCATTTCCAGCTCAGCTGGCTCGTTTGATCAATGAAAACTGCCTTATGCATTAGAATATGAATAAAATTTACCTTTAAACTCTGTAAATTCAAGCAAAATAAAGCCCACAATAAGCTATTCTTACTGTTGAATCTTCAATGACCACGAAGTATGTGTTTAGTCTCTTTTTTTCACACAAACATATAGTGTTGACTCCAGCAGTCTTCCTCAAGGGCTCTAAAATCCACACAGTGGTCTTTGAATAGGTACTGGAATAGACCAGGGGTAGATACTTTAGAAATATCACTTTGGCTTTACTCTTATATGGGGTATCTATGTGGATTGTGTGTCTAAGTCTCAGTTCTACATATGTTCCAGTAAGGACGAACATGACTTATGAGAACCTACACACTAGGGTTTCCTAATTTGGATTTAGGTAAAAACTACAGCAAAAGGGTTGGAGTGGCAGAGCCAGCATGTGCCCTAATCATATAGATAACTTAATAAATAGGGTTCCTTGAGTTTGAAAAAATCCAAGCTGTTGAGGATCAATGATCCTTGCTTCCATTGCAAGGGTGCATACTCTCCCTCCATTTTCCAAATGGTTGGTGCTCAAGGTTCTGGCTGGAGGTGCCAGACCTCCTACTAGAAGAGCCCTCATACCATGATGATGGTTTTGGTGGCCTAGTTAGCCACTAGGGAGAGAGATTTTCCAGAGCTACAATATAGGTCATGAATGAACTATCTGCAGACCTTTATCTTGAGTTAAGGTACGGGAGCCTACTATACCTACTCCAAAAAATACGCACATGTTCTGTGTGGGCATTAATAAGAAGGTTTAGGTTAAATTAGTTTTCTAATGAATAGTTTTTTATCATCGACGACAAACAAGGTAGAAGCTGCATGTTCTTTTGTGTTAGGCTTACCTTTAATAATCAGGATGACCTAAAAATAATGAAATCAGCTAAAGATGTCCTTAAGGCCTGGGAACAGATGTCTGACTATTCATGTTTGGAACCAGTTGTTGAAGATAAAACTGTTTCATATTTACACCCCACTGAGTTGAGATTGATCAAAAACCTCTCAACAGAAATAGTCACAGTTAGTTCTTCCCTGCATTGAAAGGTGAAATTAGCTGCCAAAGTGTACCAGATGCACCACATGAAATAAGAAGAAAACAAAATGAAAGATACTCAGAAGGGATTTCCCCAAATCGTTCAAGAGACCACAAACAGAAGGACTGGTAAGATGCACTTCTGTTACAAAAAACCATGTTAATAGCCAAATGTCATCACTCCCACACTAATCTCTTACCTTAGGAAGTTCCAATAATATTCTCTGTCTAGCCACACAAACAAGACCTATAATCACTCTCAGTCTAGAGGATTCTTTTCTGGACCAAGCATAAACCAACACAACGAATCATTCCTGACAATCCTATAGATTCTGAATGACTCCTTGAAGAATTGCACTTAAAACTCCTGTATATTCCACAGTGATATTCATGAAAAATTACCTTCTAACGAAAGGAGAGAGAAGGAAGAGGGATGACTTGAAAAATGCTCTCTTTGGTTTCAGAAAATATTTCAGAGTGGGTGATTTTAAGTGATAATTATTTCCTCCTGCCTAGTCTATGAAGCTCCCAATTATATATACAGGGATCCAGTGTGGAAGAAAAGTTGGAACTATGGTGGATTTTTGAGGGTACAGCGTGGAAAGGGATGAGGTCATACCACGAAATGTACTACTAGATATTCATGCAGTCCTGCAAACAGGGCTCAATGGCAACTGTCACAATTTTTCTGGACTTATGCTATGAGGGAAAGGAACAGGTTTCTGAATTTCCCCAGGAGACCACTCAGCTGACAGCCTAAAAATGAAAAACACCTCAGCAGGGACTCGTTTAAGAGTGTTAAATCCACAGAAATGCAGTATAACATTGATTCAGACCATGCCATACTTACTAACTTTACTCGCAATTATGGAGAAATTATACTGCGCAGTGCTTTCTCTGTCTAGTAATTCATTAGTGGCGATGGTTCCTTCAGTTCCATCTATTGTAAAGTAGCTGTCCCCATCACTCTTCCAATCTATGAAGTACCTGTATATAAAAAGAGTAGATGCAAATGTGCAATGATTACACATTAATCATAATGGCAGTCAGACTAACTTGACACAGTTCCTTATTTTCCTCCCTGTAGCTATTACCCACCTTGCAATAAAGAAGAGTGTAAATGACAGCTTCTTTATTGCAAAGCCAGTATGCTCAAGGGAAACTGGAAATAATGAAAGATTTAGTACTCCTGCTGTTCATATTATTTTAGGGTCTTGACACCTTGAAAGCTCAGCAGAGACTAAAATTCTAAAGCTGACCATGGGTTTCCTTAACCTGCTGAATATTAAAACTTTTTCAAGCAGTCAAAGATTCCTTAATGGTGGCTTTGGGAAAAGGTAGGGGTAGGGGAGGCATCTGGAATCAGCTACAACAGAACAGAGGTAGGTTAGGTCAGAACAGAGATAGAATCTTTGTTTCCATGGATAGAAAAAAACATATTATGGAAACTAAGGGAAATTTTTTAACTGACAATGTGGTAATTGTACAGAAATATTTCCCTCAAACACACATAAAAGGGCCATTGTTGTTTTATTACTCTATATATCAGGACAAGTTTCTAAAAAAATAGTGACCTTGGCTAATAATTTTTTTTATCTTCTTTATTAGCTAACCTTGATAACAACAAATGTTGCCGTCTTTAAGTAAAGCAGCTGGACTAAGAAATCCAAGAAAGTGAACTAAAAAACATGGCATTTATATAAATCTTTATGTAACAGTATACATAAAGAGTGCCATACGTAAAATTATTTTTCAAACGCATATTTTCAATTGTAATAATAATAGACGTTTTGAAATCTTACCATGTGCCAGACATTCTTCTAAATACTTACATATATCAACTTATTAAATTCCCACAAAAGTCCTAAAAGATAAGCATTATTAATCTCCCTATTTTACATATGAGGAAAGCAAGGCATAGAGACATTAAGGAATCTGCTCAAGTTCACATAGCTAGAAAGTTTTAGAGCTGATATTTGAACCAGGTCATCAATGTTTTCCATATAATTATCATTATATATAGCCTTATGAATTTTAAATAGAACACTTTATGTGAAAGGGCTCTGCTACTCAAAAGGCTCAACCCACAATATATTTATCACCATTATTCTGGCCTGAGAATCAAGGTGAGGTCATTACCAACAGTGGCTGAAAGCAGATGACATCATCGCGGTCAGCCCATCAAATCCCCAGGCCAAAGAAAGCGATCTGCTTGGTCATCATGAAAATTATTTAAGGCATATGTTTCAAAATAGTAAGTTATTATTTTGACAAACTGGTTATTTAAAACTGGGGCAGTTTACATATCATTTCAGTGCTAGATCAAAACTAGATTGCTTTATAGATGAGATTTGTAACTCATAACTCATCCACATTTGTTCGGAACTGATAGGATCAGAGTATGACCAATGCTGTTCATCTGCCTTCAATATTTCTGCTGTTGACTGAGCAGGGGTGGGGAGAGAAGGCATTGATGCCTCAGGATTTCAGTGTAGTGTCCTGTCTCATAGGAATGCTCTCAAAGTATAAATGATGTCAAGGCACATTTGAAAGTCATGGAGCATAGGATGCAATAAGCTTAATTCTCCCTATTGCAGAATCTCCTTTCCTGAGCAAAAAAAGCATTTTCTCACAATACCCCTTTTCAGCACCTTAATTCAACTTGGGCACATGCCTAATTTTAGAAGAAAATTGCTATTGAATCTCTTTATTGACTATAGCATTTATGGAAGTACTGTTGGAGTAAACTACTTGCGCTCAATTATATCATTTACTAAATATTTGTTGAGTGCCCACTATGCACTAGACACCGTACTAAGGTTGAGACATATAAAAATAGGTAAAGTGCAATGCCCACCAGTGAAGAGTCTAGTCAGGGAGACACATATAACAGGTGATGTCAATGCCTGCTAGAAGGACAGAGAAGACTCTAGAGGAGTGCAAAGTAGATGCTTAGTTCAAAACCTATTGGTTCAGACAAGGTGGGCGGTGTTCAGGGTGGTATGGCCACGGGCCATATATTTTCATTATGGAGGTGATTACATAGGTGTGTAAATGCAACAATACTCACCAAAGGGTACAATGAAAATGGGTGCATTTTACTATTTATAAATTATACCTCAATAAAATCAATTTAAAACAAGCAAAACCTCTTGGTTCAGGCAAATCGCCCTTCACATGTTGTTTGGCTGACACTAGAAGACTGTACAGGAATTATTCAAAAGAGTGAGGCAGACACAGTGAAGACAGGGGAAAGGTATTTCAGGAAGATACAATAGCAGCAGCAAAACCATGAAGTTTGTGTGGGGAACCTTAAGCTGTTGGGAATTATGGAAAAATATGTGAGTTACAGTAACACAAAAAAAGATAAGTGATTTAGACCAAGGAGGGCCTCAAATATTATAGTAAGGAGGTGAGACATGATCCTGTGGGTAATGAACACTATTGAGCGGGGGCAGTTAGGGTATGGATTAAAAGTTAATCACTTTTAAGGCATATGGTGGATGTATTTGAAAGGGACAAGGTTGTAAGCATTTCCTATACATCATAATCTTGCCAAGAGACCAAGAGAGTGACCAGGGCTGTAAAGAGAATCGATTCAAAGGATTGTGAGGTGTAGTTGAAATAAGTAGGGAAATGCAGGCTGAAGGAACAAGGATATAAGAACATGCTAGCTGCCTTGAATTTGATAGGGACACTTATGGGAAGCAGTTGCTAGATTTGCCTGTTTTGTTTCAGTGGAATGGAGATAGGATAGGAAAATCGATTCTATAGAAATTATGATATCAGACAAATATAACTAAGATAGTTAAATAGTTCTACTTCAAAGGAACATATTTAAGGTTTTAAGAAAGTCCTATTTAGGACAATTGACACTTTCTGGTTTGCTGAGGACTTTCTTACTTTTAGTTCTGAAAGTCCTGAGGCCTGGAAAACTCCCCAGTCTCAGACAAAACTGGGACCGTTGATCACCTTACTTCTGGTTAATACTTACAGCATGTGTTATAATTTACAAAGCTGATTCAAACAGAAATCTGTCTTCATACAATGAATCGCTACACACACAAAGGTCATCTTTAATTGTAACTTTAAGTTTTTCTGGTAACATGTTTAAAAATTCAAGAACTTAGACAATGCACACATAAAATAATGTATCTATCTCTTTGTTTTATGTTTCTGTATATCTATCAACCAAAATCCAATATGTTGCATGCAAGCTTAGTAAGCAAATTTCATGTATTTAAACGGTTCAGTCTAACACTGACATAAATCAACCACCACTGACATGCAATGAAATATAGCATAAAGAGCACTAATTTTTTGGACAGACAGAACTAGGGAGATAAGCTAATTCTTTTTCTCACCTTGTGCTGTCAGGTTATGAATCTTCCCTTCTAATACCTGTTCTCCTAGTCGTCTATAAAATGTGGAAAATAGTACTCACCTAACAGTGCAACAGTGGGTGTTGTTGTAAAGATGAAATGAGATAACATATATATGCCTCAGCAAAGAATCCTATGTGTGTGTGTGTGTATGTGTGTGTGTCTGTATCCCTTTCTTCCTCTGTCTTTTCGCATTATTGATTATTTTATATTACTTCTCAGATAAAAAAATCCTTCCTAACATACAAATGTATGCTTAGTTGTGGGACCAAGTTGTGACATATATAGCCTTCAACTTTAAAGTAGTTTAACTACAAAGCTCCCACACAAAGCCCTGAAGTACAAACAGTGGATACACACAGCCAGGCCCTACTGCACAAAATGGCGCTCTTGTTTGACTCTCATTCACTATTTTCTGACATCTAGTTTTTACTTCCATCACCACGTGAGATTTGGTATCTCCCTTTCTTGGGATGTTAGACTCTCAGAAAGCTCACTGCTTTCTTCTGGAGTACTGCTGAAACTTGTTTGAATATTTCCTACTCCTGAGCATCTGTTGCCTCTTCCCACAGCTGGTCAGACTCCAAGATGGTAGGTCTAGTACCAGGTGCTGGCATTTTCCTCATGTCCTACCTTTATATGGTGACAGATCCCTGTGTCTGATAAACAATAAATATGAGACATCAACTAACATTTTCGACTATGATATTTTGCCCAATATAGCAATTAGGAGACATTTATAAGAAACGACCATCAGTGAACTGACAATGAAACCACTCCTACGTTTCCTGGACATTTTCAGAGGAGACATGATCCAGTTCTAAAATGTCTAGATCATTTTCAGGAGATACACCCCCCAGAGTGAACCATCATGTTTACTTTGGGTTTGCTACAGTCCACATCCAATATAAGGGTAGAATGATATTTTAATTGCAATTAATTGCAACAGTATAACATGAACTGTCTAATTTGACCTGACTCACCAGTTTAAATGAGCAAAACCCCTCAAATACATAATTTATTTGAGCCATCTTATGTTTACTTGATGAGTAGATGAGATTCAAATGAACAAAAGAGATGTTTGTGATCTATATATAATGAAACAAATCTACAGTTCCTACAAGGATGCAAAGTGACTGTTGCTAAGAAACCTGTTTTAACAATTGAATGGAAATCAAAAATTATAGCCTTAACCTAATCTGTGAAGGCCACTTAAAAGTGTACAATTTTATTACTTTTCTGTAAATGAGTTCTGAGAAATGCCTTAAAAAGTTTTATTCTCTTCATTAGGTAAGCATTCTCCTTAAAATCATTTCTTTTAATTTGCCTGATAACTTTGTCACAGTTAATATAAAAGCTAACTTTGACCCTGTCCCAATTCTCAAACACACTTTATAAAAAGTACTTGATGGTACAGAGTTACTTTAAAAGTACCACATCTCCTTCTTTAAGCAATAAACATGCAGGAGTAACGGTTTAGGCTAAGGTAGGAAATCCTCTTTTGTTAATGTACTAATAATAATAGATCAGAATCTCTTTATTCTTGTCTTCTCTTATTCGCTGTTTCTTTTTTAATTTTTTTTCTTGTGGCAGATAATTAAATGA